GTGATGTTTAAGGGTAAGGTTTTCGTTAAAATATAAAATAAATGACGACAGCCTTTCTGACTTTTATACATAGAGAGAGAGAGAGAAAATGAGTCTCTGAACTTCACTTAACGTGAATACAATTTCATCTTTTTTATAACCTGACATTTAACGGTTAGTATTGTAATGGTAAAACAACATTTTTGCTTTCTGAAGTCACAAAAAAAAAAAAAATCTGGGACCTTCTGCATTAGTTGCAGCTCAATTTGATAATATTTTCATCTTTACGAAAATACGGGTTCTACGATTGTTCATTTTGCTAACGTTTTGTCACAGAGTAACTGAATAGTAATTCTAATCAGACCACTATTTTAGAGTTAGTAACACGTTACAGTTACTTGAAATAGCACCCACGATTGAGTAACGCGTGACTGACATCATTCCTATAAAAAAAAATTTGCTGAATGAATACCTCTCCTAATCAGCATTATTACACTCTTACGGACACTCATTCGATTGCATTTGACATGCCGAATGGCAAATCCACTCCTGCAGCGCCTTCATCCACGAGGCCGGTGACCCAGCCCAGCAGGTCCAACTGGTGGATTCGTCACTGCAAACCCCAGCCGGTCTTGCTCTGGACTGGCTGCAACACAATCTGTACTGGACCGACTCTGGCGACAAATCCATCTCGGTGGCCTCAGTGGACGGAACCAAGAGACGCATCCTCATCAACACTGATCTGAGCGAGCCCAGAGCCATAGCACTGGATCCTCATCATGGGTGAGGTGTAGGACGTGTGCATTCTCAATCTATGATCTATGATGTGCGTACGATGCATCCATGATGTATTTATTTGGTTATTTGCTCTATTTGTCTAGTTATGTTACAACCCACTGACACCTTTGACATTTGAAAAATAACTTCCCAACCGTTGCTCCTTTGTCACTTTTGTCCTGATGTGATTCAGATGGCAGTCAATGAATTTTCATATTTTCATATTTCATTCGTATTCCAAAGGCGTGCCGCTCATACGCAATATTAACGCGAAACGGACAATTGAAACACAAGAGTTCATACTCAGGAAGAATGAAGAGCACACAGAATACTGAATGTGGCGCCAAATGACAGCTCATACCGCAGGAAAACGTGTAGGTGTTGTAAAGTTGACATTTTTATCCGTGGATGTTGCTGCGGTGGATTGATTGATATCAGTTATTCTTCACACAGCTGTACGGAAACCAGAATAGACTGACAAAATACAGACAGCAAAAATAAGACTCATACAGAGGTCATATACAAATTCAAAGGATAAAAAAAAATATAATAATAAAACATGTTCACATCATGTCCAACCACTACATATTCTTTCTTTGTTGCATTCAGTTTCATGTACTGGTCCGACTGGGGCACAAGAGCCAAGATAGAGAAGGCCGGGATGAACGGAGTGGATCGGCAAGTGCTGGTGGCTGATAACATTGAGTGGCCCAACGGAATCACACTCGGTAAAACAGCTGTTTATCGAGCCATGTAGTGCTGCGCTAAGATTGCTACTGACCATTGAAGTAGGATGAAGCTTTGAAAGGCAATTAGGCATTGCGCAGAGCTTATGGATGACATCGATATTACTCGTGATCAACTAATCGAGATAATCTTCATTTCTTTCACACAATCAATGATGGGATTTGTCGGTCAGAGTCCAAGTGTGCCTTGTGGGCAAACGTTCAATTTGTGTACTCAGACGTAGCGAACCGCCGTCTGTACTGGGTGGACTCCAAGCTGCACCACATAGCCAGCGTGGATCTGAACGGAGCTCACCGCAGAACACACATGACATCTGCTGAGACGCTGGGACACCCCTACGCTCTGGCTGTGTTTGAGGTTTGTGTCATTTTATAGATTTACAGCCTGTAATCTCAACATTAGGTACCAAATCTCCTGCATGGCTAAATGTCTACGCTATCATCCTTCCTTGCTCTTCTGAGAATTGCAGGTGGTAATGGTGAATGTGAAGTCCGTATTTTCTGTACTATAAGGCACTTCGGATCATAAGGCGCACTTACAATAAATGGCCTATTTTACAACTGTTTTCATATATAGGGAGCACAGAATAGAAGCTCCAATCGTGGCTGCGGTTGCGCTATGCATCCACTAGATGGTGCCATGCTTAAGGAATACAATACAATACAATACAATACAATACAGCTTTATTTAATAGAGCCTTCACAACCGCTGAAGCTGTAACAAAGCTATGAGAACTGGTCACAAACGCGGCATATACATCCCAATGGCATGACAAAACAATAAATGAAAGACAAAATATATGAAGACAATTGATTCAACAGAAAGGCACACAAACCTTGTGTGCTCACATCCTCAAGGGACTAAATATCCTGAGAAGACTTGCTTGTCTCCTCCTTCCTTCGTTTAGTCAGTAGTTAACTATGCTTGTGGTATTATCTTTGTTTCATAATGGCTGCGCACAAAGTAGTTGTCTATTGGAGTGTGTGTTGGCGAATGCACATGTCAGTTACCGTATTGGCCCAAATATAAGACGGCCCTGATTATAAGACGACCCCCTCTTTTTCAAGACTTCAAGACTCTTTTTCAAGAAGTTTGAAAAAAGACTTTTTGAACACCAAATTGATTTTTATACAGAAAATAATTACAGTACATCTGAAACAAATGATTGTAACAATATATTTGAGAGAAAAATCATGTTATTTTAGCTCATTCAAATCTTAATATCTGAACATTTAAATATGTAAACTAAAGTGCAATCACATTCGTAAATGAATGGCTTCTGGTTTTTGAAATGTAAATTTTTTTTTTATACTTCCCCCTCGCCTGCCAGTTACCCTGGCCGATCTTCGACCCACTTTTCTCCAGATTGTCACGACGTTTCTCCATTTTCTGTTATCTGTTCTATTATTTTCTTCTCTTTTCCTTCTTACCGCTATTTTTTATTTTTCTTCTTTGTGCTACTGCTATTTTTATTTTTATTCTTCGTGACAGGGGTTCACTTTGCCCTGGGGAGTCAAGTTCAGCATTTGCTTCAATGATATCTGGCGCCATCTAGCGTTGTGAATGGGTATAATGTCTAGACCCCGAATATAAGACGACCCCTACTTTTTCAGTCTTATTTCAATGCAAAAAACACAGTCTTAAATTTGGGCCAATACGGTAGTGTCGGGCCGAGCCCTTTGATGTTACAATTGGTTCCTGCTAATAATCGCCACTAGATGGCATAG